GAGAAACGTGCATGTGTGTGTGTGCGTGTCTTGTACGGGGGCAGGGAGGGAGGCATCTGCAATACCTTGTCTCACTGCATGGTGCTTTTGTCTGACATTTTGCCTCGGTCGTCTGCTTTTTTTCATTTGGCGGTGGTATCCTATGCACCGACATCTGTAGTGCTTAAAAGTCAGGCTCTCTGCCTTGCCTGCAAAAGACGCAAGTTTGATTCACGCTCGGGCAGATGTTCCATCGTCTATCTCTGTCGATCCGTTGGTATGTAACCCACAGACTGAGCGCGGGTTATATCTGTCTGACTGACTTGTTCCAAGCAACTCGTCTCCTCATTGATCTAAAGTATGTCGTCAGGGGTGTACAACATGATTTATAACAATGAATCAGTCAGGTTATATGTTTCTACAAAGAGGAAAGAATGAGAAAAATGAACTCTAGAGTATTAACTACCATCATTGTATCCTTGCATGGTTTGCACATGGGAGGTCCCTTGTTTGGCCTTAGCCCAGTGGTTGTGGAGGGTAAACTAATACTGTGGGACCGCTCTCATCATAGAGTGAGGAGCGGAGCGGGGGCTCTTCTGACTGGCCATGTCTTTACTCAGGGAGGTGGAACGTTTGTGTTCATTTGGCTGTATGTGTGTATTCTGGTGTGCGCTTTTGAGTGTGTGCGAGCATGCGTGTGTGTTTATGTTGGTGTGTGTAATTATTAGATTGCGTGCGCGTGTTTTGTGTGTGTGTGTGTGTGTGTGTGTGTGTGTGTGTGTGTGTGTGTGTGTGTGTGTGTGTGGGGGGAAGGGGGGGGGGTTGTATTACGGTTTATTGCCGGAGGAAGAGAGCAAGACAAATGATCACAAGTCTGCATGAAATGTGCGTTTATTTGCAAGTTTTCAATGAGTCAAAGGGTTGGGGGGTTTTTGTGGCTTTGGCTATTGCTGTTGTGTAAAAGGAGAGGAAGATTACACGCCAGATTTGGACAGTTAAAGGCTGAGGACGGGAATGAGGGCAGGTTATGTATCTGATCTGGAAATATGTTCACCTTCAAAATCAAAAGTTTGTTCAATGGAGGAACTAGCAAATGTAGTCAAAGGAGATTAATTATTTTGCATTTTTTAGGTTAATGGAGCAGTGTCCAACAGGACAATTCTTCCTTTCGATTTTTTTCTCACATTTCTCTGCATTATGCTACCCAGATCTGAAATTACGCTGGCTTGGAAAGCGTTGTATCCGATATTAAGGCCACAATTTCACTTTTCCCCTTTCATGACGTTGTGATAGAAATCACATAATGTTATTGACAGGTTGCATATTATATGACCTCACTACGCTATTATGGCATGACATAATGTTGTCCCATCCGGGCTTCCCGTGGCGCCGGGACCGACACATCTACCCCAAGGCTTGATGTGCTCCGGCTTGGAGGACAGCTTCCCCGTACGGGCGTCGTTAGTTCAAGCCTTGCCCGAGTACTAATTGTTTTAAATGGTTTATATCCACGTCTTCATATTCTCCACCATTGACAAGGATGGTTGCTTTGATTCGTGGTGACAACGCCAAAGCCGGCTGTGTGGTATACTACATCTCAGTAAAGAATTAGAGATGCGTGATAAATTATCTTCTTCCAGTGAGAACTCCTTGACAATGAAAATTTCTTGGGGTTTCCCCCCGTGTGCTAGCACTGTTTTCTCCGTCTGCTAGCACTGTTTTCTGGCGCGTATCTTGTAATCCCATCGACAATGCTAGAAACGCTTAAATGTTTGTCATGCCGTCTACCTGTGGTGTACTACACCCTCCAATGTTGGGGGGTTTTTTCTTCACAAAATGGCTCCGACTGACTAGCTTTGGTGATGACGTCACGATTACTTTACTAATCGTGTGGACGTAGTAATCAAATGGATGGCTCGCTGAGGGCGAAACAGCCGATGGCTTAATGGGGGCGTCTTCCGAAGTGACGGGCCAGCTTTTGCATAAGCCTCGAGTCATTGTTTACCGCCTGTTTCTGTCACTTGTCTTCCAGTAGTCGATTGCACTTTAGCAATACTGACAGAACTGACTACACAATCTTTTCATTGTTAATTTCAACATTGTATTGTTTCATTTTTAACTCTCAGAAAGAGTAGTTTTAAGAGCAAAATGTCATGGACACCTTTGGGTCTTTCGATAAATTCTCTTGCGATGGAGAGGTGTACCGTCTTTATTAGAATTTTATGTTATTGAGAGTGTTGATGTTATATACGAATTTCTGTAAGGTGTTTTCATCGTATGCATTTTGAATTCTGTGACTATTTGTCATCGCTGCTTGACATGTTCAGTGTGAAGTGTTTTCCTGTGGGATGTCCGCTTAAACCTCAAAGGACAACGAGGTGTCCACCCACACTGTCGCCAGCTATTGCCAACAACAAACAAAATAACATTTACTTCAACAAAGACATCAGCAGTCACAACGAGTGCAAAAAAAAGTATCATGCAAATCAAGCGAGGTCATGGTACAGCTGTGCTAAAGTGATGTACAGAGGTCATTAAAATCGGCTCGAGGTCACAGACACGCTATGGTGGAGGCGAGTAGACCGTGTGGGTGACGTGTGACGGGTTAGTGTACATCAATCAGACTGCTTGACGTCCATCTGCTTGTTGAAGTTTTCCTCAGATGATGAATGACGCGGCTCCACCGTGTGTGTGTGTGTGTGTG